ACTGTTCTCACAGCACTGTGCAAGAACATTTGCAGGACTTTATTTCACATGACACATTTCATAAGGATCTTGGGCAGAATTCCTTACAAGATTCACCCAAGAATTTTATGTAAATTCAAACCCTTACCATGTGTTTCTGAAGGGAAGAAGAAGCAACACTGACTGATTTCACTAGAGCTACCTGATACTGTTGTAAGAGAGCAAAATCATTACAAGTCCCCTTTGCTTCCCTGAGCTTGATGAGCTGCTCTGTACAGTTCACCAGCATAGCTGTCAGAAAGGATTGCTCCTTACTTTCAGCATGGCTAACACGTTGCTAGCAGCCAGCTGATGTTCCTCTCCTGCTGACTGGTAGTGCCCATTCCACCAGGCTCTTGGTCTGCTTCCAGCCACTATTTATAATCTGAACAGCAGCTGCAGAGACTCTGCTTCATTCATGTGTATCAAGTCTTGTGGAGCTAGTTACTATTACCAGATGCCAAATGTTGTAGTGAAAGTACTCCAGTCTCCATTCAACCAAATTTCCCATTTCTGTCATCCCAAGACAGTGACTCTCATCATACCTCTATAGTGCAGATCAGTGACACCAAAAGAATGTACTTGCCCCTGACCAATGGTTTGCAACTGTGACTACAGTAGAGTAGGAAAACCAATTTCTAATTAGTTCAGTTTAAAGCAACATGTCTAGTAATAAAGCCATAGAATAGTAATAAAGCATAATTCTGCACACCCTTCTGTAAATCTAAAGTAAAGCTTAAATCGTGTTTTACAGTGCTGATATTGCCTACAGTGCAGCAGGTAATGACTAAGCAATATCGCAGAAAACATCTCTTGATTTGGACTGCTTTTGTTTCTTTGTTTCTTGAAGGCATCTCTTGAAATAACTTCATTCTGAATGCAGCTCATTAATGTGTGCTCCCTGCCCCCGCCCGTGCAAGTCTTCTCCAACTGTCTAAACATGGTGACTGGAGATTTTAGGATTAATTTTCTGTAAGCGACCTACTTCACAGAGAAAGATTCTCATTTATAGCCTCTGGCATTCTATTCAGGTCACAGATGGACAGATAGCAAAGCTATTCCTCGGTGACTTACTGGAGTTGTAACCAATACCCAGTGAGAACAGAGATCAGCTCAGTGTTTATTGGTCAGAATGCCTAAAGGTATGCAAGATCATTGAACCCTACTTTAATTTTCAGGGATGTCTCAGTTACGCTATAGGATACTAGACAGTGCTTTGCTGTAGGAGCATGTTAAAGCAGGGATAAAAGTACTGCGTGGTACAGAAGTTAAATATCTGATGTTGAAGCCTTAGCCTTGAAGGTGGACACCAGGCACAGTTCTGGCTGTGGAGGTCTTAGATATTACCCATGTAAGAGATTCGGTGGCCAACACCAAGGATCAGAGGTCCTGGGAATGTTTACTTACTATGAAGTGCTCACAATCCCATGAACTGTCGACACTGTGAAGATAATTCTACTTACAATCAGTATGATCTAAGCCTTTCTTATGGAAACAATTTTTGTACATTGTGGTCAGTGAAAGCAATAATACTCCTGTTTTACTGTTAACCATTACAGGCCCATTTTCTCTCTTGTAATTGGTTTATACTCTGCTGCTGCAGAAGTACTGATGCAGCTGTTTGTAAAACAGCTTGTTATCTTGTGTTCAGACACTCAGAATTTTCACAAAGGCAATTACTAGGCTTCATCTTCTGCTACAATACTTGCACGCGTTCAGTAGAACTTTTCATGATGAGAAAGGGGCAACAAGCCAAAGTGTGAAGGGTGTTTCTTTTTTTGAAAAACCATCTTAAAACTTTAAGTGTGCCATGAATCCAGTGTTGTTAACTGTGACAGGACTGAAGAAATGTGTATTAAAATCGTGGTAGTGCCAGTAAAAGGGTGCATGGCTTTCAGAACACAGCAAAAAAACATAGTTAGGCATGTCAAATCCTTAAGCTGCAGATATGTTTGTGCTCATGTCATCCTGTGTACACAGACTGCTCTGCTCTTTGAGCTGCAGTGCAGAACGCCTTTCAGTGTGTCTGTCAGGAACTGCATTGCTGTTTGGATCACTTTCACCACTGAATGCATGTTGCCATTTCAGATGAGCAAATATATTTGTGTTTGTTTCAGATGTTTGCAGCCATGAAGACTGCACTAAGACAGAGCTTTGCTGGTATTTCCTATGATGCACTCTAATACACTGAGGGCAAAATCAATTCCTTTTAGCAAAAAGCATTTCAATCAGTAGTTAAATAAAAGGCTTTAAAGAGTATATGTAGCCCTCTTATATGTATCCTGAGGGACTGCAGTGCTAGCCATAGGCTTGGTTATGATTTTGGATTACCTGTGTGTGTGCTTTCAGCTTCTGACCTGTATGTTTCCCACCCCAGGTCTCAGCCCCAGAGTTTTCTATCCTAAGGGAGAATTGCTGTTGAGCTTAAAGTTTGTCTTTCTCCTTCTTTACTCTGGAGCTGTAGATAAATTTGAACCAGTGTAGCCCTGTAGGTATAGACCTTAATACAGGTAATTTTAGTATGGTTTGAGAGCAGCCTGTTGTACATTTTATCAGTTCCTAAAATAATTAATTTAAATCTAAATAAGTCCAGTTTTAATAAAAATAATCCACAAAGCATACTTCTTTTTTTCTCAATATGTTGTTTGAAAAAGCTAAATCAGCACTCCTACAATGGGTTGCAGGCTATTTTAATCAGATTATGATTTTAAGAAGTATGTTAATACAAAAAAATAATCCATGCCTTTGATTCTTTGTTTTCTCATATTGATATCCATCACATTGTATTTATGTGGGAGAATGCGGACTTTTATGAGAAGAAACAGAATAATCCTAAGTAATTGAAAAATTAGTTTTATATGTGACAGTACACAACAGACTGATTTAAGTAATATACTTCTATTTTATGGAGCAATAGCACTATCTGTAAAAGATATGAGCAGGATTCTTGTCAGGATAGTTAGGGTACTGAGCAAAGGTGAAAGTGAGACACTATGAAACCCACTCACATGGTTACTCAGCATTAATTTAGACTCTGTCTTCTGAGATCTTCTGAGCTTATAAAAGCTTACCTGTATCATTGTGAGTATACACAGTGCAAGCTAAACCCTTCATCTCCCTTTTAGTGTCTTCAATTGTGATATGAAGTGGTCAAACGATTCACCTCTGTAATAATAATAATAAGACACATAGCTTATAATCCGCTGTGTTAACTGAATATAGTCTTGTGTGTGTGTGTAATTCTTCTTGAGGAAAGATGAGTATTATGATACATTTTGTAAGCAGGAATGGTGTCACACACAGTTTGCTACTTGTCCTGCTGTATTGGAGCTATTGAATATAGCCAATTGCATGAACCTGTTGGTGTGGTCATTTGTTTGCAAGATCAGAACATCCAGAAAGAAATGGGAATGTGGTGATGAACTAGAATTTTCACAGAATTTGTTGATATGATGTGCTATTGTAGATGAAAATTTGATAAGAGAAACAGAAGCATAGACATTGCTTCAAAAATTTGTTCTCATCTTCTTTAATATGTGAGTCAGTGTTCCCTGATGAAATGGGATTATTAGTTTAGTCATTTAAAATTTAAAATTTTTGGTGGCAAACTTCTAATTAGTTGAATAGTTCATGCAATGCTAGAACAATTTGAAAGAACCCACGTTCCTCTTCTGAAAGAACTTGTATTCCTGTTCATGGGGATGTCACAATATATTTGGAAGAAAATGCTGGAGCATGGAAGAATCAGACATCCCATGTTAGTGAAACAGTAAATGTGATCTGAATGGATAATGAATATTACTTGATGACTGGCTGGCTTTGAACACCTCAGGAAGTTCTCTAAGAATTATCATGTTTCTGAAACATGCTTTTGTGGGACGGGCTATGCATATGCAATTGCAAAAAAAGAAACCTAGTGGGTAAAATGGTGGCAGAATGTTTCATTGCTTCTATATGCAAAGTTCAGATAAACCTATAAATTTAAATGCAAAATATAATTCAACATATTGCATTATAATAATGAGAAATAGACTATAATAATTACTCATAATTCACCTTAAATGCAAAGTCATTTTGACTGAAGTTACAAATCATTGGTTTTCAATGGTGCTTTTAACAGTAACCTGATTAGAGAAAAGGAATTATTTTCTCTCTGTATGTTCCATGTAGGTGTGCACCTCATATGCTGCTGTCTTTATAAAAGTAAACAATGATGACCTGTTTGAATACTAATACATTCACCTGATAGGTCTGACATTTTTTTTTCCTTTGCATACTCAGTATAAGGATGGAGTCTACAGATGATGGTTGACTAATTATCTTTGAAAACTAAAGACCTGTATTTGCTCAGATAATAACTAAACTATAGGCAGGAATTGTTCCTTCATAAGCTGCTCAATAAACCCCACCACCAGAATCCAATTTGCAGTAATGGAAAAAATCTCTGTGGTTCTTGATCTTTAGCTTCTTTGCCAATATTACTGAAGAATAATTAACACTATTATGATGTTGAAATATAAGATCTTCGAACTTTAATTATAAATTAATTTTAAAAAAGGAAGTATAAAGTATATGTCAGTCACAGAAGGCTTGCATTAGGGCTACTAAGCTGTAGTTCCACAGCACTACATTATTTCTCTTGTAACAGATCTCTTTCTACAATATCTTTCATTAAGGAATAGGTTGAAAAAGCACTTAATACATATATGTTAAAATGACGACTAATCATATGCATATGGTAAAATTACGAGGTGTTGCATTTGGGAAGTTGATGTGTATTTCATCATCCTTAACATTTTATTAAAACAAAATAACTGTTGAGCTGGGAGATTAGAGGTTGTTTTCCAGTAATGACATATTTATATTAAGAATTCTGTTGATGACTATTTTTTGCATTTAAAGCTTGGATATTTGAGCACTTGCATTCTCATTTGAACATTTAGTCATGGAGGTGTCTGAGGATTCTCATTCTGTTCTTGCAGTTCGACAATCAGCAAGCATTGGGAGGCAGAACTGGCCACGCTCAAGGGTAATAATGCTAAGCTCACAGCAGCCCTGCTGGAGTCCACTGCCAATGTAAAACAATGGAAACAACAGCTTGCTGCATATCAGGAGGAAGCAGAACGTCTTCATAAGCGCGTAAGTCAAGTCAAACAGCCAGAGTCAGTGAGACGGAACTACTGGTGAATATGTTTACTCATATTGAAATAGAACAAATAAGCATAATGTTGAAGATTTACCTAAATCTTTGACTCAGACAATAATGACCACTTTAAAGCACAAGGAGTTTCTCAGGAAGTTCTTTTTTATCAGTTCCTTTTCTGTAGAGGATTTTTTTGCAGCAAAAGTTACCTAAGCTGTGAACCATAGAACATTCTTGCCAGCATTCAATCTTCATTTTATGTCAGCTGCATCATATTTGTTTCAGAGCCTTCTCCATAGAGTGCTATGGAGTCATTACATTCAGCGTCCTCTTGCCTTTAAGCCCATAGAAATGTGACATCAGATCTGTAAGTTAAAGAAATCCTTTTGTAGTTTCCAGAGGTGCTGAAGCAGAACAGCTTCCTTTTGTCCTTGCACCCAAAGAAAACTGAGCATAGGATCAAGCTCACAATGTGCAATTAAAGATCTGCTCCTGCATGCATATAAAAGGGACAGGATCCCATTCTCTACTTTCACAGAAGTCTTTTGACAAACCAGAAGTTAGAGCTTAGTGCAGGTAAGAGTAACACTCTTCTGGGAGGAATAAAGAATATGCAACATTGAAAGCTGCGCTGTGAATATAAGTATACAATTTCTTTTCTCTTTTCCTATGTAATATTTAATATATTGTTATAAATCATTCTGTTTTATCCACATGAATTTGTAATTGTAGCTTAAGACATATTTCTGTGCAAAGTGAAGGCAGCCATAAGACATGTATGGAGGAAAGATGTACTTTGGGAAATTTATTATAGTTTTGTTATTATCAGGAAATTAACTTAAGGAAAACAAACAAACAAACAAACAAACAAAACAAAGGACCTTGTTGTGATTTAATCCAGCAGGTCGCTGGGCTTCACACAGTTGTTCACTCACTCATCTGCTTCCCAGCAGGATGGGGAGAGAATAGAAAAAGATGAAGTAGAATCTGTGGGTTGAGATAAAACTATTTACTAAGATAGAGAAAAGGATAATAATTATGACAAATGTATATGTGTATGTATATGTGTTATAATAAGTGATGCATAAGTAATTGGTCACTATTCCCCGACTGATGCTCAGCTAGCCCCACTATCAGCAGAAGAGAACAAGATGAACTGACACCCCCTTCAGAACTCCTTCCACTTGATGTTATATGGTATATCATATGGCAAGTTTAAGACAGCTGTCCTGATTCTGTTCCTTCCCAGCTCCTTGGACTCTTTGCTGAGAGTGGCCTTGGCTCTATGCAACACTGGTTAGCAGGCTACTGTAATCATTGGTGTGTTATCAACATTGTTTTTCTCCTAGAAACAAAACATAGCATCATACCAAACACTTTGTAGTAAACAATTCCATCCCAGTTGAAATTAAGACAGATGGAACTGAGCTTGTTCAGCTTGGAGAAGAGAAGGTTCTGGGGAGACCTCCATTGTGGCCTTCCAGTACTAACAGGAGGCGTATAAACAGGAGGAAGAACGACTGTTTACAAGGGTAGATAATGATAGGACAAGGGGGAGTGGTTTTAAACTGAGAAATGAGGGGTTTAGGTTGATATTAGGAGGAAGTTTTTCACACAGAGGGTGGTGATGCGCTGGAATAGGTTGCCCAGAAAGACTGGAGACATTCAGGGTCAGGCTGGATGTGGCTGTGGGCAGCCTGGTCTGGTGGTTGGCGAGCAGGAAAGTAAAAACTAGATGATTGTGGTCTTCTTCAACCCAGGCCATCCTATGATTCTGTATGCTTTTGTGCATGAAAACAGTATTCTGGAATAAACTGACAGATGGGAAAGGTCAAGTACAAACACAGCGGACTTTTAATTTGATTTTATATGGTGAACTCTATTGGACAAAATAAGATATGGAAACTGTAGTTAGCCAAACTGCAAAAGTTTCTCTCAGACCTGCACTGAACCTGTCCACTGAAGGCTTCCAGTACTTGAAGTTAGTAGTCACTGAGAAGTTTGGCAGAAAATAACCCCATTTGTATTCCAGCTTGTACTCAGATATCAGAGTGTAGGGGTGGCTAGGCTTAGATTCTGGATGATGTCCAATTCAACACTCTAAGTCTGATCACGTTCAGTAGAGCATTATCACAATTATGGATTCACAAGTAGCGCACTGACCAATTCATCTAGTCATGTTCAAATGGGCTCTCACAATGACCCTTAAGGAATTTGTCAGCATTCAATGAGAACTCTCATGGCTGGATTAGTGAACAGTGCAGCTTATTAAAGGAACAGGAGTACAGGTTATTTTGGATTGCTGTTGGTAAGTGAGCTGTGTACAAAGCACGTGAGGTTGACTGAAAATAAGAATAATGTTTCCAAGTGCAAATGCATTAAATTAGGGAATGACTCTGTACAACATATTCCTAAGTTTCCCATGGGCAGCACTCTGCACAACTCTGTTTGCAAGTGTTATCCAATAGGTGTCCCTATGGGGAGGAAGGGAAGCTCAGCCCATTGACTGATCTTGGAAGTCAGCAGTGGTATCTTCCCTTCCATTTCTCTTCTCTTAAGGCATTTGTATACTATTTTCTTACTTTAAGATGGAGCTTGAGTGACTTTAGTCAAACAGAAAGGTGGAAAACTGCTGGTTCATGGCTGGCTCACTACAACAATGCAGCTTATCAGTTCCAATAGTATCACTGTGTCCCCATCCCTGCAAAGATTATGGAGTCTGTCCATGGGTCTTCCACCCTGTTCTGCCCTCCATGCTGCTTTTTTGTAGTGTCATCTCACCTAGTGTTTGCTAACAGCTAAGATTGCAGGTCACATTAGGGAACAATCATGGAACAGGTTATGACCTGGGAAACCATAGCAAGTATCAGGCTGTTGAAAATGTCCTATATCTGGACTGACTTGAAACGAGAATCTTGCAATCCCAGCTAAATGAGTTGGGAAGAATCGGGAAGAATAACATTTTGCAATAGACCCTAACTGCATGTGTTAATCTGTCTAGATGAAATGCATGAAGTGTAATTAAAACTGGTGCTTTTTTTTTGCAGATTATTTTCAATTCAAGAGATTGGCAGATGATGGCAAAATTGCTTTGCTTCAGAAAGATTCTATTGAGGCACAAGCTCAATATATGTTTGCATGGAGGCTTTCAATTGTCTCATTTAAGCATCCCCTTTGGAATGGTGGAAGCTCTAACCTGCGGTTCAGTTTTGTGAATGAAAGATAATAATCATAGCTGATAAATTTATGTAGATTATAAACTTATATCATGATTACTACACTACAGAAGTTCATGTAGATTTGACCACTAGATAGGTTTTACAGTGAATAACTTTTTGCTAAAATATAGACATAATGAAGTGGCATTCTTCATAATAATATGTATTAATAAGTTTAGGCAAAGAGGAGACAGTGCAGTTCTGATCCAACAAAGATTAAAAAAGTAAAACAGAACAACAACAATAACTGAATTTCCTGCCCACAGCTAAGAGACCCGTGAGACAAGATGAGCGAGTTGTGATGATAGATGATCCCTTTTTCTTCATATTGCTGTCCTACTATTGGCAATCACTATTAGCTACATTCATTAATAGATGATTATTTGTTCTATCCCACATGTTGGAAACTGATCTTTCAATTTGAAATAGTGCTCCATTTCAGAAAGAAATTGCGATACAGATATTTCTCCATTACACGTACAGAAAATGTGCTTGTGAAATGCTGCATCTGGATACTGTTGGCTATGGTACATTCAGTAGCAAGGAGTGTTATGAAACTGTATGATATAGTCATTCTGTTTGGTTTATCGTAGAATTATGGAATTACAGAATGGCTGGGGTGGGAAGAGACCTTAAGGCTCATCCAGTTCCAATTTCTTCCTAACCTCTAACCTAAATCTCTCCTCTTTTAGCTTAAAGCTGTTACACCCGTCATTACACACTGTGACAGAGTGTCTCTCCACAGCTTTCTTCTAAATCCCCTTCAAGTACTGGAAGGCCACAATGAGATCTCCCCACAGCCTTCTCTTCATTCTGAACAAACTCCTGCTGCTTCAGCCTATTATCTTAGAAGAGGTGCTCCAGCCCTCCGATTTTCTGGGCCTGCTCCAACAGCTCCACATCTTTCTTGTGCTGGGGGCCCCAGGTCTGCATGCAGTATTCCAAATGGGGCCTCATGATGGCAGAGTGGGACAACAACCTCCCTATTCCTGCTGGCCACCCCTCTTTTGATGCAGCCCAGGATGCAGTTGGCCTTCCAGGCTGCAAGTGCGTGCTGCTGGCTCATGTCTAGCTTTTTGTCCACCAGAACCCACAAGTCTTGTTCTCAGTGAGTTCTTACCAAAGAATCATAGAATCCCTATAATTGGAAGGAACATTAAGAATCATCTAGTACAACTCTTCTGCAGTGAACAGGGACATCTACAGCTAGGTCAGGTTGCTCAGAACCCAGTCCAACCTGACTTTGAATGTCTCTAAGGATCCGACATCCATCACCTCTCTGGACAATCTGTTCTAGTGTTTCACTACTCTTGGTGTAAGAAATTTTTTTCCTTATATCCAATCTAAATCTCCCCTCTTTTAGTTTGAAACCATTTCCCATTGTCCTATCAGCACAGACCCTGCTAAAGAGTCTGTTCCCTTCTTTCTTATATCCTTCCTTTCGATACTGAAAGGCCACACTCAGGTCTCCCTAGAGCCTTCTCTTCTCGAGACTGAGCAGCCCCAGTGCTCTCAGCCTTCCTCACAGAGATCTCTTGGATCATTTTTGTGGCCCTCATCTGGACACTGTCCAACAAGTCAATGTCTCTCCTGTACTGAGGATTCCACACCTGGATGCAGCACTCCAGGGGAAGCCTCACCAGCACAGAGTAGAAGGGCAGGATCACCTCCCTCGCCTTACTGATGCTTCTTTTAATGCAGCCCAGGATCTGGTTGGCTTTCTGGGCTGCAAGGGCACGTTGCTGGCTCATGTCCAGGTTACAATCCACCTGTGCTTC